TAGAGAATATAATAGTGTAATAATAGAGGCGCTAAGCTTTTCTAGCTTTGTTTTGTTTTTTATAGTAGGTACGCGGGGCCTTCGCATTCTTGAGGTCGTAGATTTAATCGCAGGCTAAGGATATTATATGTGTCTGTGCGCATTTAAGACATGCACGTGAAGGAAAACATCGTGAGAAAAACGTCAAGCCTATAAAAAGTAAAAAAGTCAACGATTTGCGTCAGGCACATTAGGCTGATCACTTACTCGCGTATTTAAAAAAAGTGAAGTAAATGAGACTCAGACCCAAAATGTTGTAGCGCCACTGTTTTTTATAGGTCCGTAGCAACATTTATTTTGCAGTTTCATGCTCTATATATATTTATTAATACCCAATAAAAGTCCATATTTGGTGTGGAGTAAAGTAAATAATATATTATAAAGTAACTGTAAATACGTTAAGCAAACGCTTTCAACTCGATAAATTAGACCAAAACATTGTAGTGTAAAGTTAACGATCAACTCGGGAGCTTTAACCAGGCTAAATAATTATACGGACTGACGTGACGAGACAGTTATGGCTCAATGGGGATTACATTCTTCAGATATTCGATACAATTGAACCTTTATCTGGTAAGATTAATTAAACATTTGAAAGTAACAGATTATTTAACATATTTTGTACTAACCTTACTCGTATGGCTATAAAAGCTTTGGAATTAACAAAGACACAAAGACCATATACATAAATGATTAAAAAAAAAACTATAAAGACATTTTAAAAATGTAACTCTCTTTTACATGTCTGTAAAATTTGTATCGAGAAATAATGTTGATTATATTATGTCTTTGGTCTGATACTAGATGGCGCTTTATACGTTTGAAACGCGCTATCGGATTGCTTTGGAATTAATCAGGTAGACCTGAAATTAAGAGATAGCAAAGTAGACAGCAGTCTTTACTCTTTAATTTTTGGATGCCATACTAAAGCGATCGCTTTGATTATGGCTTAGACAGTAACATAATTATTGTGAAATGATAACAGAACACTGATAAGACAAAATAATTTAAATTTTAAAGTAGGGATGAGAACTCTACGTCTTTTTAATCTAAGTAATTTAGATCTAAGTATTTTAGGCCTTTCCTGAAAACCTACGAAGTTCAGTCACAGAATCTACGTATTTTTAATCAAATTGTAAAATTTTGCACAATACCCAAATTCATTAGGCTGAATAGGCATAATATCTATTACTTTCGAAAAAAAAGTTAAAAACAATCCGACCGGGAATGGAGAACTTTAAGAAACACAAATCTTCCATAGTTAAATTTAAAATTCGTCGGTTAAATTTAAAATTATGTAAAAAAATTGTAAATTTATAATAATACATAAATTCAATCCGGTAAAAAAGTGTTTTCTATATGTAGTTATGTCAATAAAAGACGATACTACAAATCTTCCATTACAAGAGGATCAGCTAATCAAAGCAGCCCTGCGATTCTGTAACTCACTTTTCGAACTCACACAGCGGTTTTCGCATCGGCGGTCGCTCTCAAATCAGTCGTGAAGCAGTCATTTTATGATTTGGCATTCTGATAAACAATAAACTACAAGCTCCCACGTTTTCACAATGCCAAATCATAAAATGACTGCTTCACGACTGATTTGAGAGAGACCGCCGATGCGAAAACCGCTGTGTGAGTTCGAAAAGTGAGTTACAGAATCGCAGGGCTGATGAGTTTTGGCGTCATATTGCCAAAGTAAAAAAAGGAGATGCAGCTCAACCGTTTCCCCTCCTGGCCTAATTATCACAAAAATGATTAACATTACCTCATAGTAGCGCAAATGTTGAACGACTTTTTTCTTCAATAAACTTGATTAAAACTATCATCAGAAACAGACTGGGATTGATTTGCTCCAGTTCAAACAATTTGTATGACAATACTTGGCGATTAAAAAGAGTGGCGGAAAGTTTCTTGCCAGTTCTTCTTACCCGCTCTACGCCCTTGACTTGCGAACTGGTAGTAAATGTAAATGTATAATTAATTTAACTGCTTTCTGACAATTCATAGGTGTACTTGTTTACCTACATGAATAAAGATATTTTGAGTTTTTTTTGAGACTGTCTACTGAAACCCTCACAGGGTTACTTTTTACAAAAAGTGGTCTGAAAAGTAAGCCTGAGCCAACGCAAGATCATAATATACTTTAAAAAAAAACATGTACAAATTTAATTTATCAGAAAATAATAATGAATATTAAAAAAAACACTCGTTTTACCTACCCTTCCCTATTCATTTCACTCATAATAAAAAGTACGTAGATCTACGAACTTTTCCTACAAATTTTTTAATAAATCTACGTAATTTTCTAATCTGGCCTACGTAATTTTCAAAATCCGAGTTGGCAACACCCATGTGAGGTTAATGAAAAATAATCGATTTAATTAGAAATAAATAATCAATTTCTGCGTTTTTTTTCTATTTTTAAAAATCTACATTTTATTTTATTTAACAATTTATTAGGTTATAACTAGAATAAAACGATATGAATAAAAAAATAACCAATTCAAAACTAAAAATGAAAGCGAATGATTGTTTAAACTTTCAAGATAAGGAATAAGGAAATCAAATATCATTATTGATACAAATTTTCAGTACCGTTAAACGTTTTATCATAATAAAAATGAAATGATGAGCATCCTATCATAATAACAACCTTATTGTCTCAAAAACTAAAATAAAAATTGCCATAAATGTCCAGTACTATTTTATATTTGACTAGTTTTAAAATAAAGTACTTAAAACAATATTTAAAAAACTTAAGGACTACGTTGTAGTCTCAAAAAGTAAAATATAAAACAAATATTTCGTTAATCTTTAAGTTTAAACAATAAAAACAATTCAAAATAATTATTGTCACAAATGTCTAGTCTTATTTTACATTTGACTAGTATTAAAATAAATTACTTAAAGCGATAATTAAAAAAAAAACTGAACGACTACGTTATGGTCTTAAAAACTAAAATATAAAACAAATATTTCGTTAATTTTGGAGTTTAAACAATCAAAAGACGAAACATAATTGTTGGCACTAATTTTCAGTCTCGTCTTACGTAAGAGTAGTATTAAAATAAAATGAAACGATAATGGTCTAAGATCCCGCTATACAACACCCTTCACCGAGATGCTTATTTAATGAAACGTATTTTATATTTAATTTAATATGTCAATAAATATAATCCATATGGGTTGCCTAGCAAATTCCAATCCAGAGTATTTGAATTAATTAAAAAAAAAATATTTTTTTAAACATTTCACCGGTATGATTTTTAGATAAATTCTATACCAATCGAAAGTATGAAGCCCATAGAATATGCAACCGTTAGGTTGTTTTTAATCAATTAATTATTTATGTGTATATTTTTTATGTGACACTAAAGTATATATGTATGTATCTTTAGTAAAAAATAAAGTTATAGTGATACATATATAATACTACCCTGATTAAAAATATTGATTTAAAAAAATTTTTTTTATTTTAAAATTTTTTTAATTTTTTATTATAAATTATATTGGATTTTTTTTAATATTAATTAATATTAAATAGTTTATTTAATTGTGAAGGTCGTTTTTATTTTATATATATATTAATTTTAATAGTTAATTTATAAATAATAATTTGATAATTTTTCCTTAAATACTGTTTGTTTTTCCTATATTTCCTTTAAAAATAATTTTATAGAGATGTGGCCATCTCAGAGCTTTAGAGTCAATTCGGTTAGCTTAGGAAAAGTTCTTTCAGAGGCCTTCCAGACATTGAGAGGATCTACCATAAGATCCGATAGGGTGCCGAATGTATAGGTCCAATTCGTATTTTTGACCATTGATGGGTTAGATGCAAGGCATTATTGTTTCGTGATGTACCTCCATATATCTTGTCCGTTGACCGTAGATTTTGATGAAACAGGTGATTCAGAATTATCATCATTTTTAGTATTCAAGTTTAAACATTTCTTAGTTTATTTTATTGTCTTTGAGAAGGATAAAGGGTCATCATCTAAATGTTTTTTTAAATCTAGGATCGAAATTCGAATCTTTTATTAAATAGCGCACTGTTTATGAAATCGATTTAAACGCTTAATTTATATAATCGATTTATCAAAAATCTATTAATATTACTATGATTATTTTTCCGACCCAAATATCGACCAATAGAATTGCACCATTCGACGTCACGTGGTACAACCTACATGGTATTATCATACTGATAATTTTTTGAAAATTTTCTCTGGTAGTTGCTTCAAGAAAAGTATTAAGTAGTTGTTTTATTCATTATGAAATTCTTATTTGTTAACTGTACATTTCGTCTCATGGTGCAATTCTATTGGCCGACATTTGGGTCGGAAAAATAATCCCCCGAATACCACACGAGCTTCAAAATTATCTGGCATTTCCCTCAAGGTTCCCTGCAAACAAATAAAGTCGTCAAGTTTTTGAAAAACTTGACTCCTTCATTTGTTTGCAACGAACCTATCGGGAAATACCCGATAATTTTGAAGCTCTTGTGGTATTATAAGTGAAAATCGATTATAAGAAAATAATAATCGATTTAAATAAAAATCGATTATTTTTTTAACATCCCTAATTCCTAAAGACCTTCAAAGACTTCAAAGTTCAAATGTGATCTTAAAGTTTTCAATTAATAATTAAATATTAAATACTAAATAGTGTTAACTGTTATGTAGGATTTGTTATTTGATACTCATATTTCTAGTCTTATAGAAATGAATACAAATCTTTCATCTTAATCAAAAATCAATTAAAGTTTATGCGAAAATGCAGTAGTGCTTGCACCAACTTTGCTACGAGTCGAAGTTCTTTATAGATTCTTACATTCTAAATTATTCCGTGATCAACGTATGTAGATTGTTACTTATCGATATTCCCACTAAGCCTGTGCAAAAATACCCAAATTAGTTTCGACATACAAAAATTGCAAACTTTTTTTTATAAAAAAGATGTTAATACCTAACTGGTGGAACAAAGCGAGGAACAAACATTTGCAATACCATATCGCCGTGTGGTGTGTGCGGCAGACAAGTGGAGTGAGGCAGTGGGTTCGCTTCTCGGATGATGTAACTTGTGTTGTCACTGGATTCTAGAACCACTCGGGGACCCTCAGCTTCACCTATGAGATTTTTTTTAAATTATCACTTAAAAAAAAGGTTTTTTCAGAATATTCAAACAAGTTTAAAATCAAACATAGTAAAAATAAAACTGTTAAACTATCACAGAAGGTTTAGAAACCAACCAAAAGCGTGTTCTTAATGAATTCTTGCGTAAATACCAATTGTAATAACTGCGATCTTGTTTTAGAAGAAAAATGGGAGAATTCCATGACAAACACACACACTTTTAGTTTTTTGTTATAATACTAGCGGACTGGACATACATATACACCGATTTTAAATACAAAAAATTAAATCGTCTTTTTAAATTTCCATACTCGAATCCACTTGACACAAGTCACAAAAATTTCATCAAGATCGGTCCAGCCACTTAGGAGGAGTTTAGTTACAACAAAGAAGATTTATATAAATATATGCGATGTACTTTTTTAATTTAAATAATCATGTTAATGAAAAAAATTGAGTCCGAAGGAGTCGGTTACATACATACATACATACATACAGCTGAAGCTAATATAAAGCGTGTAAAAAATGGTGATCGTAAACTAAGTCTACTCTTTCCAATTTGATGGCTTGAAGTCTTCCACGTTTCATTTCCGTTGTCATTTTCTTTTACGAAATATGGTATCAGCTCCCGTTGGAGGTATTCCCTGGGTGATAAAGAGAATTAACTCCGTCCTTAAAGGCCGGCAACGCACCCACTAAAATGGGTCTAAGCGATGACCGGATTTTATGGATGTCCTATACGCACTTAGTCTTATAAAAAAAAAGACTTCAAGACTATAAAAGAAGTGTTAGTATGCTTACTGTGTTTGGGGTTTAGTATATCCGGTTTAGTCTCCATTTTCTCCTGGCTGTGTGTCGTGGGATAGGCTATAAGGTAGCGTCGACCCTGGGCGTCAACCTGCACCACACTTTGACATGGCCTCTTGCTCGTTGTTGAAGATTCGTGACGCCTTGATACGTATTAAAATTCAATTTTCTATTAGTTTATTTACATAGATACATATAATTTATGAATATAAATGTAAATCTAGTCCTATCATGACGTATTATATACTTATTTCACTAAAAACCCTACAACATCACAGATCAGCGGTAGGATAAATTTCATATTCGAATTTTTTTTTACATAATTACTATTTTAATATATATAAATTACGCGTCACGTTGTTTGTCCGCTATGGACTCCTAAACTACTTAACTGATTTAATCAAATTTGCACACCGTGCGCAGTTTGATCTAACTTAAAAGATAGCTTTAATCTTAATTTATACCCGCGATATTATTTTATTGCAAATTATTCGACAGGCACAATTCTAACTAAAGATGGTGCTGTGTTGACAGTACCAACGTTTCACATAAGCTACAATTTAATTGCATAACCACCAAAAATTAGCATGGTGGTCCTATGTCTCGTGTTCTTCTACCGTTTCCCTTGAGTAGTTCACTACAACATAATATGTAATATAACAAAAACCTTAGCCACAGCAACGCTTGGCCGAGTCTGCTTGTTAGTTTTTATACCCAAAAAATCGCACGGGACGCAATCTTCTTTCCGTTTGACGTATCACAATTAAGTGATGTCATCGATTCGTATTCGATTTACCAAAGACTTTCCTTCTGGACCTTTATATTTTAATGTTCTATATTAAAAAATAATATATCGTTTAGGGGAGAGTGCGGAACTACTTAATAGCCTGCCTGAGTCTATTACAAGCGCCAACAGTTGGCGCATTTAAGAGATGTTTGGCGTGCTTTATGACTTTTATTAATTTTTCATTGTTGTTCTTTATTTGAATTCATTTATCTTGTTTTCTTTTTGTGTTCTGTAACTGTTATTGTCGGGCAAAGATTAATTATAAACATATATATAAACGTTTTGTAAAAAATTAAACTAGGAAAGGAATAAAGATTCTATACCAAAAAAGAAAATCACATAGAAGAAATGTATACGATAACATAGTCTTACATGAAAACAAACGCAAACCAAAGAATAAACGGCTTCGACATCTTCACGATTACAGCATAGAGGCTTTGAGCTAACAAAAGAATTGATTTAATTCGTATGTTTCGTAATCGTAATAACAGACGTATTATACGTAAAATAATATAACATTATATTGTATCAAAATACGTTCCACGGAATTAATAAAACATTTTAAACACAAATAAGATAATATTGAGGTTAAACTACTGAAAATTTACGATTTATATTTTGAACACGACACAATATTTTATAAATTTACCGCGCGTACAGTTATTTCATAAATGAACATGTTTCGATGTGTCGAGGTTTTGAATTTTAAACTATTAATTCTTATTGAAATTTAATTTTGCTGTCGGTTGTTAAATATTGTCATAAATGTCATTTTAAAGATAAATATGATACGAGTCACATAATAATAATGATTTTGTACTGAAAAGTAGGCAAATATGAAAAAAAAATATTAATAAAACATACGCAGAAATTAATTGTATTAATAAAAGTAAGACTAACTTATCAGATCAAAACTTTATTCTAAACCTAAATCAGCTCTGATAAAAAATCTTTTTCTGTAACAATGTAATTGAGCACATTTAAGGCACTTCACTTACTTCTTGTTGACAGGCAAGGTTTTGTCAAGGGTGTGACGAGAAATAGCAGAATAGAACGGCCTGGAGTTCTTTGTTGTACAACAAACGGAAAATGTACGTGCGTTTGATTTTTTTAAATTTTATTTTGGTTTTTTTTATTTACTTACTTCTTAAAGACAAGCGCTATGATGGCTCCAATAGCAGTGACAACAGCAGCAGAACCAGCAAACGCAGCAGCGAGTGGAAACTTCGCTATTACACGATCCGTTTCCTCTGTTAAGTGTGAATAAATCAATTTAACAAATACAATATCTTTTCCTTATTCCATTATGAACATTTAATTTAATGGGCTTCTAAATTACTTAATTCAATATAAATTTTGTTTGAAATAAAATTTGAATTTGGAATTCCAAATGTTTGCCTTATTGCATAATGAGGATTAAAGTTAATGCGGATTTTGTTACCATGGTACTAGTCCTTTTACATGGAAGCAACATCTTAACCACGGACAAACACATTGTAATAAAAATAATACTAATTTTAATTTATTTTTTGCAGAACCGCAGATGTTTTAGATACAAAATCAGTGTTAGATTGTTTTTTAAAAATGGAAATCGATAACTGTGTTCGTGATCTAGAGAAGCAGTTCACCAATCACAATCAAGCAATCGCCAAACCGTTTCATCGTTTCGTATTTCAAAAATGTATTCTAACCGTCAAACCATTGTCACTATAATATTTAATTACCTGTGTATTTTAAAATACATATACTCAACGCAGTGATTATAACAATTCAGAAAGCATTTTTGATAATAGTAGTTATGATAAAGGTCTGTTCATATAAATTAACGGTCAATACCCTTATTAAAATTAGCAATATGGACCATTTATAACAATCTGGTACACAATGATAAAAAAATATTTATATATTTGTTTAATTAATGACAACGTTTTTAAGCTTTTGAGAGTATCCTTTAAACATATTCTCTGTTATCAGATTTTCAAATACTCCCTAATTTTGGCAAAATTAAGTAAGAAGGACTACGATTTTTTTATCAGAGAAAACTCCGTTAAATCTACTTAAAACGACCGGTTCAACGACGTCGTGTGTAACGACCCGTAAAGAGTTGGGATGGCACTTAAAAGTTCTGCAATATGTAAGAAAAATTCTGACATTTAAACTTATTAATTTCTTTTACGGAGTTTTTATGGAGAAGTGTATATTTATGATAATAGGTCGTAACAACAGAAACATTTTTGTGTCTGTATGATAATTCTTTAATTTACTTAGTCTATACATTTCTTACATATGTTATGATTATAATGTTGAGCGATGATCATACTAATTTAGTCATATAAAGTTTGGTTCACTTCATTAACTCTGAGTGACTTTTATAGTCGAGATTTAGTGTCAAAAATTATTCTCGTATAGTGATTAGAATTTACATCGCACTAGGTCTGGTATCTGAGGTAAGTTATGTAAGTTGCAAATGAGTTAACTATTTAAAAAATATGTTTTGTAGTTATAAAAAATATAAAATAAACGTTTTGGATGATTACACTTGTAACACACACGGTATAGACACGTAGTGAATCTCTGTCTGTGGCGTTTTGGCAAAGGGCGTTAGTCAAACTTGCCTAGTTATGCGTATACGTATATTTTAATTATCCTTTATTCTAATTATTACATGCGAAAAATTTGTTTCAGGCCTTTTGATACATTTGATATCTACTGTGCAAAGTCTATCCAAATTGTAACTCCACAAACTCTATACAACGTTTTTAGATTTTGTGCTACTAAAGGTGCAAAGTATCTTCCATTATCGCGAAATTTCTTAGTAATGTACAGATGAAATTAATGACAGTGACAATTTACATTAGATTTTTACCTGTTTGCTTGGCAGCATCTTTGAAGACCAATTCACTCAGCATTACTGGGTCTGACACGCCCTTGGTATTACGCGCGCTGACTGTTAACACTTCGTCTTCAGTCAGGGTTTCCAATACCGACCAGCTGATGTTCAATAATACCACCAGGTCTATAATAAGTACATTAGTATTGATAAAAATAAATAAGTCACAGGTTTTATTATCTAATATCTTATATAACCGTAACTCAAAACTATAAAATGAATATGTACGTCAAAATAATAATAACATAATTCTGTATTATTTAAATACATGGTAAATGCTCTCGTAAACCACAGACAATACATGTGAGTCGTAAAATATATTAAAAAACCATTTCTTAAATGCCAAAATATTGTAACCATGGTAAAAATCTGGGTATTGTACCCGCATATAATAAGGCCAATTAGTGTCTATGTATAAAGCGTTTTAGATGAATTTCACTAAAGATACCTAAGCTTTTCTAGCTCTAGAGATTTATTACTTACTACACGCAATTGTATGCTTTTTAACAGGTATAAATGAAAGTTTATTATTTTAGTCCCCATACAACTAAAACTTCTTTTTTTAACGATTAGTCTTTTAAATTCTGTGCTAAGTCGACAATTATGAAATAATTACCGTCCTTCCCAGTAGTGACATTAGCAAGCACCCTGCTGTTGTCACCGACTGCTTCCAGTAGAAAGTGCTGGTGTAACCCACCATCGTATCCTGCTAAACACCTCACTGATAGGAACACATCCTTTGATACAATGCGTTTGGCTGTGCAGTTCCGTGGCGACGAGGGCCGAGCTGCAACAAATATTGTATCAAATAAAATTCATATATAGCTTAGGCTGATAGCTGAGGCTAAGAGCGGGCCTTAAGCTAGAAAAAATTATGATTTCGCCCGCGCCTCTTCTTCCACACGCTTTAGTGACAAACGCAATCACCGCGGCGCAACGGTCGCGCATCTATGTGCGTAGTATATGCAATTTAATAAGATCAAATTTTAAAATGTAGTAATATTAACGAGTGCCAGATTAACTTATTAATTATTTGCTGCCCGTATTATATAAAAAATTAATAAATATTATTTTACGTGTTACCATTAACTTAAACAAGGTAGAAATGGTTTGTTTGTTGCATTTCTAACAATACATTGCGTCAAAATTACTAAGTCTGTATTTTTAGTATTAGAGGTTGATAAAAGAAATAGGCGGCTATTTAATACTACCTTTTCAAGACGTCAATACTTCTAATATATAAAATTCTCGTGTCACAATGTTCATTCCCATACTCCTCCGAAACGGCTCAACCGATTCTTATGAAATTTTTTATGCATATTCAGTAAGTCAGTGAATCGGCTACTATCTATTTTTCATACCCCTAAATGTTAATAACCCCTAAATTTTATTTTTATTTTTTAGACAATTTTTTTTGTTTTTATTTTTTTAATGATACAAAAATACATACAACCCTTAATTGTCACCGCTCTACAATCAACCCCCATTTTTTATTTGTTAGTTAAGAACTTATAACTTGAACTCCGAGGATTCTGTAGAGAAAAATCACAGAAAAATCTAAAAAGTTTTCATTCCGAAAACCGAACAGTCTCTGGGGTAGCATAGCAAAATGTTCTATGTTGGTATATACTAAAAAGGTAGGCTAGGCATTAAGGAGAAACGGAGTTCGCGGGGGCAGCTAGTAATATATAAAATCATTCACGAGTAGCAACATTTTATTACCCAACGTACCCAAAATAGCATAAATAAAACTATGGAAAATTGCAGCGACACGAACAAAAGGCATCGCAGTTTCTCTGCCATTTTGAACTTTTATTTGTGTCCGTCGTCAGTGAACTGTTGCATTGAAATAGTGCACAGTTAGGACGAAGTGATGCCGAAATGAATTTTCCACGACGTTTTGTCACGTACGTCCGCTAACTTTATATTTAATGGGATTAATTCTAATAACGTTGGATACGAGTAGTTCATTCGTTTGCGATATGCTATTGAACACTGAAACTGTAAGGAATGAATGTTCGCTCACGCCAGATGAAATTGTATCGGAATTATTATGTGTTTAGACTAGTGTCATTCTCAAGCGAGTAAAGTAAATTATCCAAAAAATTTCAAAACATTTTAAGAAACTTGCCTGTATCTACCGAGGGATCCATTACGGCTGTCGGTCCCTGCATGCTCCACCACGATGTATTTAAAAAATTATTGCGCCATGGCTATAAAACTATTTAATCACTTTCTCAGAAGTTATAGATCCCTGTCGTGTAATGATTTCAAGGGGAAAGTGATGAGATTTTTAGGCAAGGTGCCTTTATAATGTGGGAGATAATTTTTTATTATTACATTATGATAATTAATATGACATTTGCATTATTATTGTTATTATTATTCTTATTATGTATATAAACACACTACTACTACTATCCAATCTATTTTTAAAAGAGTTCAAAGATGGTGTACTGATTTCACTTTCCGGATTTTTAGCAGGTCTTAATTGGGAGATAATTTTTTTTATTTGATAATTATTGAATTTGCATTATTATTGTTATTATTATTTTATTATGTATATAAACACACTACTACTACTATCAATCTTTTTTAAAAGAGTTCAAAGATGGTGTACTGATTTCATTTCAGATTTTTAGGCAAGGTGCCTTTATAATGTGGGAGAATTCTTTATTATTACATTATGATAATTAATATGACATTTGCATTATTATTGTTATTATTATTCTTATTATGTATATAAACACACTACTACTACTATCCAATCTATTTTTAAAAGAGTTCAAAGATGGTGTACTGATTTCACTTTCCGGAAGCCCTAGTCGGCCTTTATATCTTTCTATATGGCTGATAGTGCGGTTTTTTATAATTAATCAATCAGAGTTTACGACTTTCTTTGCAAATGAATGATTTATTATTATTATCGCGGGCTTCAATACAATTCAATTTTATATTAAGATAGCCAGTCACGCCTGGCGAAAATATTTTTGGCGAATCCTCGGTCACTAAATGAAAGGCCATACTCTGTGAATCTTGATTACAAAATTTACTTTACTCACTCATCTCTCTATTACACATCGGCAAACTACAGAACCAAAAAGTTCAAGCCGAATACATAGTTGCTTCTATTCTTTGGCTCTTAAAATTCACAATATATACTTTGAATATAGAAAAGAGCATATCATTCCCTCAAGATCGGCAAATCCCAGCGTTGGAGGTCTCCATAGACGGCGGTTATCATTTTATTCTAAAAGAAGAACCTCATGTATGTAAAGTAAGTTAATGAACTCATTATAACACGTAATTACATACGTATACGCTAATTATAAAACTATTTATTTCCTCTTTTATTTTGTTTTGTAAGCTTGTTGAATTAAACACGTTTCTGACCTATACCGATTAAACAGTTAGGATGTCTAAAAGCCGACTTACTGTAGTCGATAAAGCGCTGTGGCGGGTCGCTTATACGTATATACTAAAGTACTTAGAGCTTAAATATTCCATTAGTTAGTATATAAAACGTATTTATCTTTTTGATAATAAAAATGCATACTATCTATACTAATATTACAAAGAGGAATAATTTGTACTTAAGTATGTTTGTAACGAATTGGCTCAAAAAGTACTGGATCGATTTTAAAAATTCTTTCACCATTTGAATGCTACATTATCACTGATAAAAAAATCAGGATCCCTACTAAAACTACAATTACCCAAGGTGTAAAAAAATATCTTTCATCGCATGCGCTGCGAAAACTATTGATGATACAACCAAAAAATGTTCCACAATATTAAAGAACATCAATGTCTACAATTTTTATTTTAAATAAATGTCCACCCGTGCGAAGCCGGGACGAGTCGCTAGTCATTTATATAATACCATTAATTTGATATAGGACAGCGTCACATTTGGGACTTGTTTTAATAAACAATATATATATATATATATATAACGTATATATTAGCTATTTATATAGGTCCTGCTTCTGAAGAAAGGTTTAGGAGCTATTTATGTATTTGAAATATAGTAACTCCCAAAAGGGCATGAGGTAGTCTTATTCCAGTATCTGTTGATTCTACTTAACCCACCGGAAATTGGACCCAGAACCTCCGGATTGTCCGCAATTTAACCCTTAAGCCATGATATATAGCCTGCTTATATATGGCAAAAAAACTACTTTTGTAATTGAAACTCAAAACAATTAACAGCATAATATTCATTCATTTCGTTTGACATGTAACAATATTACCAACATTAGGCTTCTACGAGTATTATTGCCTCTAACGTGAGTAGACAATATTTAAAAACACAGATTATTTTATAAAAGTTTATACCCTTAATTAATTTATAATTGTTAACACTGGTCCAAGCAATATCAGGTTTCGATTCCACGTATTTACGAGAGCATTTGTACTGTAAATAAACAAAGTTTGGGATAAGCTGTAAATCGCGTGTAAGTTTTCTCGTTTCGAATTTCCTATTGACTCGAGTTCCGTATTTTAAAATTAAGGCTTTTAAGCACTTAGCTGTGTAATACGAGTTTCAAAACGTAAAATATTTAAAATATGTTTCAACTATTGACCCTGCCGTTGGAACTAGTTGAAATTAATACACACTATCAAATTGGTTCGTTATATAAGATTTATTAACAAGGTTCTTTTGCCGAAGACTAGTAGTGGTATTTTAGCACGGGCGTCAATAAGAGGTACTGTCAAACTTTGTACTTATCAATTGCAAACCAATTATAATCTTCTCTTTATCTTTGATTCTCGAAGTTGTCGCTTCTGAGAAATTGTGACCAAGATGATCCACCGTCATACAAACTTTTGTATTTTTTTAAAAGTAAATAAATAAATTTTGTTAAACGATTACCGAAAGTGGTGTATATAAAGATCTCGGAATCGACTAGCGAAACACTAATTATTTCACATTGTAGACATATCAAGATTGTGTTATAAATAGTGTATCATAAGTTTTTACAAGTGTACACTGTAGTATATTAAGTTATCTAAGTGTTCCTCAACAAATTTTTAGTTAGTGTATTGCTTTCTTAGAGAACTTAATACTATAATAAAACAAGTAAGTTAGTTATTTCTGAGCTGTAAATGGTAAATTTCTCAATAAGTAAAATAAAAAATTACTAAACACGCGCGGGAATGTCGCATTGAAAAGGGTATGCAAAAATTATTTCATCGAGTTACGAATAACTGAAGTATGTGTCATCGGTAAGAAAACACTTCAAGTTTTGAAATTACGAGTAAAATAGTTAATAGTTTTAACCTTTTGCAATTTTACGTTATAATGAAAATAATTATAATTTGCCATATCAAAATCCTCTTTATAATATTAGGGCATAATAGATTATTTTCGTAAAACATTTCAATCCAAAGGCTATCCCTGAGAGCAATTCCAAGTTGAAATTGAAATTTCAGTAAGAGGCTTAGTTTATTAATTTTAGCAAGTCAACTTTATAGTTCGCATTCGAGCTGTATTTTGTTTTGTTTCCAATTATTAAATTTGCGCGCTTAAATTAATATTGTTATGAATTTTCCAGTTTATATAGGCTGGAATGAAATACAAAGACATACCTAGACTTGCATATGGCACTAGACACACATATTTCTGCATTATATATCTATATATAAAATTCTCGTGTCACGGATTTTTGTAATTAAACTCCATCGAAATGACTCAATCGATTTTCGTGAAATTGTGTGCATATCAGTTAGGCCTGCGAATCGGACAACATCTATTTTTCATCCCTAAAATTTAGGGATTAGCGA